GAGGGAGCTATTACTCATGCGCTGTCACTGCACATCTAGAAAATTCCTCTGGGTTTAAAAACTGGCAGGAAAAAGTAGTTTCCTAAAAAACACTGAATTAATGAGATAAAGCCCATTGCTCAGGAGTCCCAAACAGGAAGGGTCAGAGGCGGAGCTGTGCAGGGCTCACCGTGTGTTGGAAATCTCCACGGGGGATTTCAGAGAGCAGATAGTGCTGGCAGGGATTCAGAGAAGTGATGCAGCAGATATGCTCAGCATCTCTTCTTTTAGGATGCAGTAACATGGATTTGGGGAGAAAAAAATACAAGTTCATTTGGGGCATTGTCACCAGTCCTCCCCCTCCATTCCTTTACATCTGAAAATATCTGGGACTGGGGTGTTTAAAGAAGGGGCTTTGTAGCCATGGACAATGATACAAGGCAGTTCATTAGTAATATTGACATGTGAAGTGAGGGAGATATATTTAAGAGAAGAAAAAGAAGTATTTGTTGTGTGGGCTTAATTATACAGCTTTAAATGAATTTTCACTGTTTTATAATCTGTATTCCTATGGTCTGACTTCTTGCTTTGAGTCTGTACTATTTTATAGATCTGTACAGTATTTTACAGATCTGTAGAGTGCAGTTTGCATGTTGACTTCAGTTATTTTTAGGTGGTGTAGCCTATCCTGTCACATTCATACCGGATACACATTATCCTCACCTTGACTGGAAACCTGATATAACTTTCATGGCCCTCAAGGCAGGGTGAAGGCTGTTTCAGATTGATGGTGTAGAGAGCACAGTAAGCAGAGGGCTGCTCCAGTCTGGAAATGCAAGTGAATATTCCTTACCAACCCCCTGACACAATTACTCACTCGTAGCATAAGTTACTGTAATTTCTTTTGCCAAAAAACCTCTGATAAAGCAGAGGCTGTTAGGAGGGAAATCCGTAAGGAGTCTGGAAAGTGTGATGTAAAGATTAGTAATAGAATTAGCAAGCTGCTGTAACAGTTCTGCTACAGTTTCTCCTAAATTACAGTACCTCAAAGCATAATCATAGTCATTCCTTGTCTTACTGCAGCGCTGTGGTGTAGTCCCAATCAGTTTTGTCTTCTCTCTGTGTTGCTATCCTTGTAAGCCCTTTAAAAACTCTTTTAATTACTCATTTTATTCAAGAATATTACCAGTTTTCCATGGAAATACAGAAGTAGCCCTGGAAAGGTTGTGTATTTTAAGCTTCAGATCAAAACGATGCTTAGCTCTGTCCCCCTGTACATGCAACATACACCCTCTTTATCCAGTACTGAGCTGGTTTTTAAATTTTTCTGAAGCGCAGAGGTGCCCAGTTTATGTCTCCGTGCTGGATTTTTGCCCTTGGGTGTGGAGCCCAACTGCTTGAGCCAGAATTAGGAAATACTTCCTACATGTGCTGTGAAAAAATGTTGGATGACAGGGCAGAGCTCAGTTTCCACCAGAATGGAACAGAATGAGACTGAAAAGGCTGGGAGGATGCTTATGGTGTTATGAAGATGGCAGGGGTGTGGATGTCATGGAATTTTGGAATCAAAATAGTCTGCAGAGAGGGAGACACTCCAGAGGGAACTTGCTTGGGATGCATTAGACCGAGGTTTGGGCATCAGTCGCTCTGAGGATGTGTGTGTGTGTGTGTGTGTGTGTGTGGCAGGGAGCACAGGGAAGCTCAGGAGCTACACAGCTGATGCAGAGAAATGTTCATCCTCACATCTTGGATCTGTGCTGCTCCAGTTTTCCAGGGCAGTGTGAAGCTGAAGGCTGAGAAGGCATAGAAAGGGGCTCTCCTGCTTTCCATGTGGGTGCTTCTGTGTCCAGTGAAGGTAGTGAGCACCAGTGCTCCTGTGCAGCCTTGTTCTCTGGTGTTGGCATGGATTCTGGTGGATTTTAGGCTCTTTCAGGGGACTTTGTGGTGTTTAGGCTGCTTTTTGCCTAAATAGATTGCAGCAGAGTCTCAGTGAGAGGCAGGTTCCCTCGCTCCAGGTGGGACACCTTCAGCTGTGAACAGCAGGAAATACCAGGCTCTGATATGGCACGTGCTGATGCCCCAGCAGCTACTGAGTAGAGAGTTTTATCAGTCTGGACTTCAGGCACCTAAATGTCACCACAATTTGGGCAGAACCAAGACAGGCCACATGGATGATGCCTGCAGCCTCCCAGTCTCATGGCAGAGATGCTCCTCAGGCAGCCATCTGAGGACAGCCGTGTCTCACTGCCTTCTTCAGCATCAGGACTGGCCTTCCCAAAGCTCCTGTCCTGTGTGTGCTACACCAACGATGGCTTGTTATTGATGGAAACCTACCTTAGTTTCTCTGGTAATGAGAGTTTAATTGTAGTCCATTCACATTATGATGGTTCAGCTGATTTCCTGCCTTGGCTGAGGGAGCGTCTCTGCTGTTTTCTCTCCGTGCTGAAAGGAAGCGGCTGAAGGAGTTGGTGTGTCTGACAGGCAGATCCAACCTAACGTGGTGCTGCTCCCACCTTTGCACTGGTGCATGTGCTGCCTGACACCACCATCCCACACCTGTTTGAGCTCCTCTCCCAGCTCCTGCTTTACAGCTGGATTTTGGAATGCCAGGTGTACGTACGCACCCCGTTCAAGCGATTGTCAGGTTTTGTGTTTGAAGACTTTCCTCTTCTGTCTTTTCTTAGACTTCACTCTGTCAAGGCCTGTGCAGCTGGCGTTACATAGCACATACTTTATTATCCCAGTCATCACTTCGACTGTTTAATCCTTTTAACCTTCACAGTGGCTACAGTAGGAGTTACGGGGATAATCTTGAGTGAATTTCCTTGGCCGCTATTAAAACCACAAAGAAATCTAAAGTAGTTCTGTGAAAAAAGAATTTCTTGATGAAACTATTTGTGAGGGACTGAAAGGGGGGAGTGCAAGTTGAGAACCCAGTCCAGCTGCAGGGAAATGGCTGTGGGGATACCACCACGGGCTGGCAGCTGCCACATTCCTGTACCCATCATCCCAAACCTGTTGTAAGCACAAAACAGTTAATGCAGAACAGTCATCCCTGCTGGGCATGGAAGGGACCTTGCTGCCAGATGGTATTTATGTTGTGCATTATCTCCGTAGGTTTTGCATCTGTCTTTGCTGCAGTTTTGTTTTCTGCCTTCAAATTCCCTTTTTCTTATTGTGTCTAATAAATTAAATTGAATTTGCAAAATAGTACAAAGTGACATTAGGATGTGCCTGTTAACAGAGGAGAATTAATTAATTACATGCCGTGAACTAACTGAACTCATTTAGTCATTGATGAATTAACTTAGTATGTCTGTTACAAACAGGAGAACTGGAATGCTGGCACAATAAAGGGTGAAATCTCTCATTGACTAAATAACTGGTGTTTCTTTAGGTTTAGTTAGCGTTCCTTAGTCTAGTAATGGCCAGATTTTTAGAAGTAGGAAGTTCTACCAGTCATTTGCAGTTTTTGTTCCCCTCTGTGATTCCATCCTACACTGACATTTGCCCCTTGAATCCATTTGAAACCTTGAAGTTTCTAGTTGCTTTTTCTTAACCAAATCTTATAACTAGTTCTTCATCATTCCCTTTTTTTCCACAGACTTTCAGTGTCATCAATCCTATTTCCAGCTGGAGATTCCATTCTGCATGGATGTCTGTAATTCTGGGGGCAGGGGTTGTGGTCTTTCTTAATCATATTTCTAATGTGCACAGTGACATTCTCTCCGTGCACATTCTGCATCTTACCTCTTCCCAGATTTCTTTGCAAACATGGATTTGATTTCTCTCTCTTTCTCTGCACTCAAGTTTCAGACCTGCACCTCTGTGCCTCATTTTGTTTTCCTTGCAAGGTGTTTGTGTGGCCTGCACACATGTGGGTTGATAGCACACTGTAGTGTCGACAGAAAGGAGCTTTCTCCCATGCCAGCCCTCTGTAAATGCCACAAAAATACCTTTTTATTTAAGCCTCTGTTTTAAAACTATATCCTTCTATGCAGCCCAGAGTAGAAAGGCCAGTTGGCTGTTAATCTGCCTTTATATCAGGTTTTATTGTCTCATTATTCCTTATACTTTCTCTTCTTTTATGTGTGTTCTCACTTTTTTGCCTCAGGCAGCAAACTAGAAACCAAACTCATTTTATTCTGTTTTATGTGAAGCTTCTAGATTGGTGTGTTTTGATCCATGACAGGGTCTCTGCCCTGCTACAGTAGTTGCCTTTCTTGGAAATCATTGGGAAGGTAAATACCTGCAGTAGCTTTAAAATCTGCACAAGTTGAGTATCTCAGCTCTCAAGGCAAATCAGAACTTCAGCTGTGCTTCGATGCTCCAATTATGAGATGCTGACCTTGTTTGCAGCTTCAACAGGTGGAGCCAGTTGCAGGGAGAAGACTAATAAGACCACAAGTATTGGATATGTGCACATTATGTTTTTCTGATGGATAGGGACACGCTTTCCAAGTGCAGCTAAAGATGTTTAATAGCCGTTGTCGATCAGAGCAATAACTATTCCATAAATCAGAATTACTTTCAGAATCCAACAACCCCTTTTCTCTTGCTTGGCTCTGTTCAATATGTGGAGCCGTAAGTTGTCCTCTGATTAGCTCTGTGATTTCCATGGCGTGTGCCAGCATCAGTGTTTATTATTGAAGCACGTTTTCTGCTTTTCTCTTGATGATGTGACTGTCCTGTAACAGAAGTCACATGCACAAACTGAGTAGTAACAGGAGTTCAGGAGGAAGGATCAGTAAATATTCTAAGCTCTGCGTGGTTGTGCAGATGTAATTGATTCCAGCCCTGCCAGATGCTCACCAGTTGATCCAGATGATCCTTGCTCAGCATGCAGTGAAGATCCCTGTCATCTCCTGGCTCTTCCAGTCTCTAGCACAGCTTACAGGCCATTGCTCAGTCCCTAAAATCTTTATCTTTACCGTATCCATGTGACGTTTTTGTATTTTTAGGGGAAGCTGAACTGGAAATGCGCACACGCGCGTTTACATAAACCATTTTATAAATTCCAGGTGCTGATCTCACAGAGGTGTCCTGCATATGCCAAAGGACGAACGTGTTGTTTGAGGGAAAAGCTGCTCATAAATCTGTGCAAACTGAAAGGTAAATAATTTCTTTTTCCAGTACATTGGTGGAGTAAGATCTCTGCGTCGGTTATTTTTCCTGCTGTGAAATATGTGGTGTAAATGTATCTGGCATATATTATATTTGTCACCGCGCAGCAGCAGAATGTAGGAAGTGGTTATCTTTAAAAAAATTTGATTTATGCTTCATAGAATCACAGACTGGTTTGGGTTGGAAGGGACCCTAAAGATCATCTCGTTCCAACCCCCTGCCCTGGGCAGGGACACCTTCCACTAGACCAATTTGCTCAAATCCCCGTCCATTCCTTGTTGTGCTTCTTTTGCATAACAAGGAAAGGTTCAGAGGTGGCTTGTTTCACTCTGAAAATATTTCTGGCTTGGATTTCAGGATTTTTTTGCAGTGTCATACATGATGGGAGGAGTAAAGAATATTTGTCTTTGAATAAAAGATCCGCTGCAGTGTGCTTGTGAGGCGTAAGAATTCAACTGAGGTTAAAACTTGAAGTGGTCTGATTGAATTTCCTATCTTTCTTAATTGTTATCTTTTTTCTGTGTGATAATTTTAATTTCACTTCCTCTTCAGTAATCGTGGAGTCTTCCAAAGTAATCTGAGTTTGTATTATATCAGACAAAAATTACAGACTAATAAATGTTTTCGTGGTGTTTGGTGTTATTTTTAAAAGATACGTAAGAGCAGTTCTTTCCAGGTCCTTTGACAGACAAACTGCCATGATGATTCGTGGGGCAGCATAAATTAATCCAGTGCTGGAGATAAGCAGAGAGGCAACAACATTAAAGGGTGCCTGGTTTTAAGAGCTCACTTTGTAGGGACAGAAGTGGCTGTGATACAACACATGGCACGAGGATACAAACAGTAGGTGTAGCTTTGGAGTGCTCCGTGATGGACATTTCTACTCAGGGATGGGATTAGCACTTCTATTGAAACTTATATAACAGCTACAGTGCCAGGGTGGTTGCTAAAAATGATGCTCATCGCTGTTAGATCCCAAAAGCTTTCAGTCAGAAGAACTATTTTCAGCTGAAGAAATATTATTTTTTTTATTCCTAATGGTCATTGTTTTTCTCCCAGATCCCAATGAGATACTTTTAAATACGTAAGGCAGCAGTAGAAATGAAAAAAAGTGTTTATATCATGTAAAGACATGGACAAGCAACAGTGAGTTTTGTTGTGGGTGGCTACTTCATTATCATATCTTCATTAACATACCCTGGCAGTCAGCAGGGAATTACATTGTTCCTTATGTCTGCCCTGTCCAGTTGCTAAAATATAACATCAGCTGCTTTTATCCAGCAAATCTTGATCCCTTTGGGAAAAAACCCACTGTTTTCCTGCCTCTGTTGCCCCAGAGGTTGGTGTTTGACTGAAGAGCTGCTATGGTGATGGGCACAGGGTGGGAATGTGGACAGAAATAGAGCGAGGCTGAAGCCAGGCTGTTCCTGCTTCCTTATGGTTTCAGTAGCCCTCTCTGATATGGATGGTGACTGATTCCAAGGAGGTATTTGTTATTACATATTTGAGGCAGGGTGTTTCTGCCTCAAGTTCTCATAATTAACACAAAATAATACTCAGGCAAAAAGGAGGGCGGGGTTCTCAGATTGATAATGTTTTTTACAGGATGTACATCATAATTCCCTGCAGAGCACTTTGTGCCCGTTGTGCTGGGATTTGGATGCACAGAAATCTCCCTCCTCCCATCCAAACTGAAGTCAGTTTTTGGTGATGCATAATTCATATCCTTGAAGCCTGTGTCACAAAAACATCTTAGTGCTTTTTTTTCCCCAGCTTGATAAGCCCGCTTTTGTATTTTTAGGATTTACTTTGCTGCTAATCCCCAAAATCAGCCTGAAGAGGTTTCAAAACAGAGTTCAGAGTAAATCTGAGGCAACTTCTACGTCAAGGATATTGCTGTATGCAGCAGGTGATTCTTTGGCACCTGCTATATATGGATTCTGCCTCCACAAAGGTTTATTTCCCTGTGGCATGAGGGCTCAAAATGCCATGGAGTCAGTGCACAAGGTGGACTGCACCTCACAGGAGTCTGCCAGGAGGTTTGGATACATCTTTGGATATATCTTAAAAGGAGTAACAGGTACTTTGTTATGAAACAGAGACAGCAGTTTCTTTTGATGAATTTTGAAGCTCTAATCAGAAATTACTCCTTCCAAGGGGAACATGATACCTGTATTTACTGCTGTTGCTTAGTGGTACACTGTGATTGCCTGTTCTGACCATATATGCTCTCACATAAATTTGGATTGTGAGGAGCCATAACGTGGCTAAAAAGGCTGTGTAAGAACCTGGAGGAAGAGAGGGATGATTCTGAAGTTGTATTTTAATTTATCTCTCTGCAGAACAACACAGAGGGGACTAACTCAAACAGCTTCTTGTGTTTTGTTTTTTTTCTTCCAGATTCTGAAGACAAACCTGTCAGTAGTGAATTGTCCCAGAAGCACATGGAGAAAGTTGTACATGGTGGAGGCTGTTTTTTCTGAGGTACAGAACATCTGTGTCCTTCCTTGGTATCAGCTGTTGTAAATACCTTGTAGCCCATTAAGCCTTTATTGCTCAAAGCTTTGAGAAGCTTTGAAATTAAAAAGATAAAGGTATTGTGTGTGCATAATGGATAAATTGAATGTTTCACTAGTGGGAAATAACTGTCTTTATTTGAGAGCTGTGTCCCTGTTCCAGAGGGATGTTCCCCAGATCTCTTACTTCGTAGTTCTTCTCAGTGCAGCTAAACAAAGCACAGGAAGGAATGGGAAGTACTCCCATCAGTGTAGGAAATCTTTGCAGTAATGGTTTTTCATGTCAATAATTTCCTCACAAATGCTTTTTGTTCTTACCTGTTTATATCAAGCCACTGCAGACCTTCTGATCATATTAAATTCCATTCGTGGAGGTTTGATTGTTTCTTGCACACTGCCCATTTAACGTAAGACAACAAAATTGTTCAGTAAGAAAAATTCAAATGGAAAAATTCAGGCCTGTGGGGGAAGTTGGACCTTCCAAAAGGTCCAAAAACCCAGTAAAACTTGAGTAAGAACCTCAGAGTTCAGTGTATTGATTTTCTTGTGAAAGTTCCAAGAGCTGTGTTTCGTTGCAGGCTGAAACTCATCTCAACTCCTCATGACCAGCTGAGCAAGAGAGATGGGATTTGATGCTATCCAAGGTGTAATTCCACAGTTCATGTCTTTTGCTACTGCCAGCTTAATAAGTTTCTGCCCACTCCCAGCCATTCATTTCCAGCCCAGCAGCAATGCAGTGCCATCTCTTCCCTGACCGTGCGGAAAACCAGATGGCTGAAAATAACTCAGTCAAGAAAAGAAACCCTTTATTTTATTTTTTTCCTTTGAATTAGATTCATTTGAATGATGCCCATGGGCAGTCGTATTGGTACAACTGAAGGTGACATGAACTGCAGCATCAGAGGCAGCAGTGAGCACTGGAGGGTGTCCCAATGCTAAGTGATCTTGCTGTCAACAAAAATCTGCTCTGGGACCATATCCTGGATGAAGGGGTGTTTCACTAGCCACAGGATTATTTATTGAACTGCTGCTTTTCATTTATTTTATTAAGGAAGATTAACATCTTCTTGTTTGGGCAGGTTTATTTTTTTTTTTACTTGAGGAGATAAACCATCTCTGTGAGAAGTCAGTCAGCTTTGTGGACAGCCATGAATGTCAATAAAGTCTTGGCAAACACAGTAGGCATTTATTCAGCCTTGCAAATTAAAAACATTTTTCCTGCTTGTTTAGTGAAGGGAACAAAAAAAGACAAATTACATAGCGGATGAGCTCTCTTGATAGTTGGAATTCATTAAGCTGGTGGTGAAAACGCTGGGGGATTGATGGTGCAGAAAAAGAAAAGATGAAGCAGCTTTTCCCCAATAGCTGTGGTTTAAGTTCAAGTTGAAAATGACCAAAAAAAAAAAAAAATCCCTTAAAGACATCTGTAACTGACTTCACAGTCTCAGTTTCTATCTGGGTAGACAGTTCTTTTCTCACTGCAGTTAATATTAATTGGTTTTTCAGCTGACAGATAATTTTTCAGTGGTTCCTTCATCTCCATCATGCCATGGGGTGTCTGCAGCAGCTCATAAATGAGATCCACGGCGAGGCGTTAAGTAGGAAGTTCTCACAGTCCCTTCCCCTGCTACAGACAGAGCCTTTCTGCAGACTTGTCACTCTGTCATCTTCCCCTGGCTTCACATTTTATTAAAAAAAAAAAAAAATGGGGGGGAATTTAAAAAGTTACAGTAAGTTGAGCATTTTGTCAGATGTAATGTTCTCACAGGCCATTGTCTGCAAATTACGGGCTGGCTCAGTCTTTCAGATGGATCGTAAAGCTGTCCTAAGTCAAGCTCTCACAAAATCCATTTGCACGGCTCCTGTTGTGGCAGGGCACGGAAAGGAAGCTGTAGGACTTATTTTTTAATGAATTTCCTGTGCAGGATCATTAGTCCACATGGAAGTCTTTCCGAGTCGCACCCAGTGCATGTTCTCTCTGATTATCCCTGATTAATCTGATAAAGTGCCCACAGTTGTCATTTGCAGTCACAGATGGGATCACAGTTCTCAAATTATTCCAAGTGCAGAAATTCTGCAGGAATTCATCAGTGGAAGAGGGTTCCCTGATAGGTGTTTGAATGCAGCTAAACCACCTGTAAATCAGTACAGTTACTTAGCAGCAAAACAAAACCATTGTAAACTTTATTCTTGCAGTGCTTTAATTCCAGACAAAGCTTTACTCATGCAAGTCATCCCATCAATGTCAAATAAAAACATGAATTATTAAGTATTTAAGATTAGGGCTTAAGTCACTGGCATGTCATTCCCATAATTTTCTCTGGAGGATTACAGAACACTTAATTTGTAATTACAGAAACAAAAATGTAATCAAATGCTCTTCCAGCTACAGGTTTTACCAATTTACAGTGAATTCTGGGTTTGCTCTTTCTATTTCCCAAGCTCTTGCTTTTAAATGTAAAAAAATTAACTCCTCTGTTCCTCTTCTTCTTCCCAGCTCAATGAGAAAGTTGCCCTCAGTTCTTCTGATCATTAAATCTAAGAAGGATGGGGCAGTTCAAGATCTGAAAATGTCCTAAAACTTCCAGGACCTAATTAGAAGGAGGCATCTTGGAGCAGCACAATAGCTCTCTCTGTGCAGTTCATTTGTTTTTCCAATTTAGAAATGACAGTTTACAGCCCTAACGCGAGCGTGTTTCTCATTAGCCGTGTTCTAGAAAGGCACAGAGTTATTACAAGTTCTGAAAGATGCTTTCTTCAGAAGTGCAAATGATATTAAATGGCAGAACTTACTCTCTGGATAGTCAGATGGAGATGCTGTGGTCTGCACCCGTCCTAGGTCATGTGGTAAAAGGCAGAGCCATGCAGCTGGACCTCGGCTTCAAATCCATGGGTGTCATGAATGCAATGCATGGAAGAGATGCTGCAGCACGATTTAGCCTTGTCCTGGGAAGATAATGGCTGGGAAGTGTCACTGCTTTCCTTGTTTCACAGATGGATCTCAGGTTTCTTGGACTTTCTCATGAAGATTTTCTTGGAGAGGACTGTGTTAGCTGTGCTGCTGACAGATGCCCTTGTGAGAACTGTCCCCACTAACTTGATTTCTCTCCTTCAGCCATCTAGAAGTTTGGTTCCTAGTCTAAGCTGGTTGGTTTTGTTGTCCTTGTGGTAAAGGAAGAGAGAACTGCATCTTGGGAGATGATAAAGCTTTAGGAAATGATGTGATTAGTCTTTTACATGGTTTTCTGCACCCTGAAGGGAAAGAGTTTGAAAATACTTTTTTACCTGTAATCAGGACTCCACAGTTGGGTTCATCTTGGATGATGGTGTAGGGTCTGGAACTGAAGTTCTTTGAGAAGCAGCTGAGGGAGCTGGGGGGGCTCAGCCTGGAGAAGAGGAGGCTCAGGGGGGACCTTCTTGCTTTCTACAATTCCCTGACAGAAGGGGAGGAGGGTGGTGGGGTTGGTCTCTCCCAGGGAACCGGGGACAGGACAAGGGGAAATGGCCTCAAGTTGCATCAGGGGAGGCTCAGGTTGGATATTGGGAAAAATTTCTTCACTGAAAGAATCGTTAAGCACTGGAACAGGCTGCCCAGAGCAGTGGTGGAATCACCATCCCTGGAAGTTCTCAAAAAACGAGTGGACCTGGCACTTCATGACATGGTTTAGTGGGCATAGGTGGCATTAAGTCAGAGGTTGGACTTGATCATCTTAAAGGTCTTTTCCAACCTAAATTATTCTGTGGTTCTAATCTACTAAAATCAGCTTTCACAGGGCTTCCAGGAGCTGGTACAGAGCACAAAGGGTAATGAACTGCAGGGGGGAAGAATTAAGATGCTTCACTCTTCTTGAAAATACTGCAGTAAGGCAAAATCTGGGGCTTCTGCATTGCTGGAGGAAACAGTTTGGTTCTGCCCCCACTTCAAAGCAGCTTTACTGTATTGCTAGAGCACCAGTGTTTTTGTGTGCCTGCGTGGAAGATTCCCAGGCAGCTGTATGTGCTCGGGGCAGAGCCTGGGGACACACGGGCGGGAGCACAGCTCGGTCCTGCTGCTTCCTGCCTGCTCTGCTCCACACAGGCACTTTCTGGACAGAAAAGCTGCACAGTAAATCCAGTGCTGATGTGGCCTGGCACAGTGACAGCTCTTCCAGTAACTGCCCGCTCTCGGAGGCCCATCCTCCTCCGTTGGGTTGTTTTCCTTAAAACAGTGCTGTTCTACACCCGGATGGGGCACACGGCCTCTCTGTGCCTCCCTCTGCCACCAGAAACTCCGTGGTGCCTTCTCTGCTGCTGCTTGGGGGTAATTAGTTCCTGGCTGAGAGGCTGTGATGTTACCTATCGAGTGCTTCCCAGAATGTGTCACCTGAGAGCGGGGCTGTGCAGACACTCAGACTTGCTCGACATGGCCCTGCAGATGTGGTCCTTCGGATCTCAGGTTTGTTCTGCCAGCTGAGATGAGGAGCTGCAGACAGGTTATTAAAAAAAAAAAAGAAAACCAAATCTGCTTGAAAGGGAGTAAATTGTCTAGAACACACTTCAGTAGCAGATTTCCAGGAAAAAGCCCTGTGTCAGATTTCTAAGAAGTAGTACTGGCTCCAGGTGGTGAGTGCCAGGTCTGAACAATCCGTAATCAATGCAGTCCTTAGCGTTAGGTTTGGGCACACACTTTCTCCCTAATTTGCAAATCCCACCTCAGCCAGGGCTAGCAGGCAGGTGGGCAGGTTTTCAGGCTCTCTGCATGGCCTTTGAATATTAAACATTTAGACCTTAACGTGTAACTTCTGTCCCACGCTGGTACTTTGGCTGCTGCTGTTAAAATGAAGACATGGTAACATCCTGCAGGAGAACTGTCACACGTGTTTTGCCGTCACGAGAGGGAGTTTGCAGCAACACTGCCCTTGCTGGTGTGTCTGGAGGTAGCTGTGCTGTGGGCAGAGCTCAGCAGACAGAATGTGTTAATAGAAGACAGCAACACAAGTAGGAAGGCCCTTCGTTCCTTGTTTAAAGCCTTGTACATGTTGTTCAAGCTTGGCTAACAGAATTCTTCAGAGTGACACTGCTGCAAGCAATTCTCTTGCTGTTGGTAGCAATATAATAGAAAACAGAAGTGAACATTTGGTGACTCAAACCAAAATCAAGGGTAAGAATAAGAAAAAAGCATCAACTGTTTAATAGGAAAAATAAAAACCCGACATGGCTAGGTATTCTTCTGTGGCATTTCCAATTTATTGTTACAGGAATATCCTCCCAGCTAGACACAAGCTCCCTCAGGAAGCTGGTTTCATATGGTGGTTTAGATTTAACTATTCATTGTCTAGCACCATTTGAAATCAGTGTTCTTGGAGGAAGAATGCCTGCCTTCATCAGGGAAACGGATCCTCAGAAGCCTCAGAGGAAAAGAAGAGAAGGTCAGCATCTTCCTTGTGTGGTTCTGCTGTTGTAATTAGCTCCACCACCAAATGAGGTCCCTTGGGACCGTGGGGGTCTGTGGCGCAAGTGACTCTTGGGAGAGCTGTGCAGTGTGTGATTTCAAAGGCAGGAATTCTGCTGTCAGCATGTTTATGATCCTTGTGAGTGGTGAACGGCAACTTCGGAACCAGAGGAGGGCTCACGAGACAGAGACAACACAAAAAAGTGTAACACAGAATTCCAGCTCAATATTGAAGATGTTGATTTTAGTGCACCAGCTGGTGAAAACTAGCACAGCTAGTTCATATGACATGGTGAGGAATTAGGAAGGGAACTGTATGTATTCCACTTTTTTTTCAACTCAAAACATGTTTTAGCCTTACATGGGTACATCTTGGTTGGTTCATTATCAACCTTGTAAATACCTTGTACGTGTATCATACAAGACACACGATAGAATTTAAAGCAGGTGATTCTGCACTGAAGCGCTGGGAATTCTGGATGCTGTTTGCATCCCAGCTGCGTGTCTTGTGGCGTGTTTGGCAGGTGAGAATATGTTATTTATTTTGTGTGACTTTACAGTGTTCAGGTCACAGTTTCATGGCTGAATGTGCTCGCTGTAGCTGATGGAAATGGCCAGCACCAGCGACTGTGAGAATTGGACCACACTGTGGTTGGTCACGTTGGCCAAGTTTACTGAAATTTGGAGGATTTTTAAGTGCTTCAAGATGATATTTTTATAAGTATTTCACTGTATTAAAAGATGTGTGTAGCTAATGGTTGATTTTGAAAGTTTTCACTGTACCTTTGTTTTGTCATCAACATTTTAATAATGCTTTTAATGTTTGTTAGCGAATAATGCCACAGGGGTAATTAATTAACATTTTTCAAGAGTTTGGGGATTCTCCAGTGTCAAATACTATCCAGCACTTAACTCTTCGTCCTTGCAGATCTCCGTAACCCCTTTAGAGGATGACTGATTTCTTTTGGTGTTCAGAGTCAATAATATTTTCTAGCACCATTTGAAATCGGTTATAGTGATTGGGGAATTGCTCCTCGTGACTTTTTGTGCAAGAGGCTCCACAGAGAATCTTTAGTGGTATAATCTAGGGCTGAAAACAGGGAAGTGTGTTATTTTAGTGAATGGAGTTGCTGAACGCAGAAGTACTAGGAGTTTAAATTCTTGCAAGGTGGTTTTATATAGCTGGAGAATTTTCCTCAGGGATAATGCAACCTCTAATGGATGGAATATGTAAAATTTGTTAACACGAGGTCTTGGTTTAGGTCCTTTGCGTAAAGATGATGCTTGAAAATGGTTTGGAAAGCCATAAGGTGCTGAGAGGGAAGACAAAGGGAGATGATTTTCCCAGTGAGAAAAAACAGTGTGGACTTGAGATAAAAGAGGAGAAGCCCCACCCTGTTGGTTTAATGATACTGTCTGTGAAGTATGAGGAAATCTAAGGAGCAGCAGGAAGCTTTCCAATCTCCAATTCCCGTACTCTGGACATGCTGAAAGCAAGATCTCATGGAAGATCTCAGTGCCAGCCTGGGAGTTCTTGCATTCACCTCTCGTACACTCTGAGCAGTGCAAGCAATAAAAACCTGAGTCATCTTTCCAGGGGTGTTTAAGAAGTTTTACCTGAAAATTCAGCTCTTCAGTGAAACAGAACTGGCCGGAGGCAGAGTTGAAGGTGGGTCGTGTCCTCAGTTCCAGCAGGATCTCATTATCCATGAAGATAATGTCTGAGAATCTTATTTCAAACAGCTTCTCATACTGCATCCAGCTTTTTGGAAGTTAATAATACAAACCACCCTACAGCAACTCACCCTGTAGCAGGGGATATTTTCCTGGATGTCCCGGTGAATTCAGCAGTGGACTGCTTTTCCTGTTATTCCATATTCCATTATTCCAACTGGGGCATCTTGAATATTCAGAGCCATTTTTAAGGTTGTGGCTGATTGTTGGCAGAAAATTTACCTTTCTCTTGTACCCTCCATCTTTTCTTTGGTATATGAAAATGTTTTGAAAGCAGGAGGGGGACTTTGGGTAAGGGCATGGAGGGAGAGGTCAAAGGAGAATGGTTTCAGACTGACAGAGGAAAGGGTTAGATGGGATATTAGGAAGAAGTTCTTCCCTGTGAGGGTGGTGAGGCCCTGGCACAGGTTGTCCAGAAGAAGCTGTGGCTGCCCCATCCCTGGAAGTGTTCAAGGCCAGGCTGGACAGGGTTTGGAGCAACCTGTTGTGGTGGAAGGTGTCCCTGCCCATGGCAGGGGGTTGGAATGAAATGATCTTTAAGGTGATTTCGAACTCAGACTATTCTATGATTGTGGGATATGCTGCCATTGCTTTATTTCTAACTAAGATTATCACAAACTAAAAGAGACCTTAATGTAAAGAGTATGGGACCTTTTCTTGGTCTGTCACTTCCATCCATTTATGAAATCCACCCTCGTGGTCTGTCTTGTTTAAACTCTTGAGAAGTGGATAGTACTGTGTTCAGTACAAAAGACTGTAGGTTAGCCCTTCAATTAATAAAAAAATTACTAAAATACGGAAAGAGTAGACTGGCTGGCAGCGTGGGGGTTTTGCAGTGTGATGCAGAGGGGTGACACCTGCCCGCATGGATATTTTAGGAGTTTCGACAGATGTTCTCGTGGAGGTTAAAAGCTGTACAGAATGAAGTGTGTTGCATTCTGGAAATGTGACTTAAAAGTAATCATCATGTTTTAAGTACATCCCTTGCCTAAGTAGCTCCCATACAGACTGTTGCTTAAATGATTTCTCAAGTGAAGTCCTTGAACGGAGCAGATGGATCTGTTTCGAGTTTTGCTGCTTGTACTGTGTGTGTAGGATCGAAACGTCTGGACTCAGGGAAACCTGTTAGCACAAAAACTAATCTTAAGGTAAGAATCAGTTACAAAGTGATCATACAAAACCAGGTGAAGATTAACGACGTTCTGATTATCTATGTTGAAAGGTAAGAGGGTTTTAACCTGCAGTAATTTCTTCTGTCTGCTCCATACAGTGAGAAAAAACAGCTGCCAAGTGCTTGGATCTCGTGAAAGTAATTTCAGACATGAGCACTGTTGCTGGTGTACCCATGTGCAATCACACAGGATTGTGTCCTGTTCCATGTTGGATCTTCCCTACAGCAACAGGGAAAGAATGGATGAAAGAAGGAAGAAAAACGCTTGATGAAAAGAGAAACATTTCAGTGTCAAATAGATATATGGATGAGAAAGAAGCATATGAGTTTGTTTTTTTCCTTTTTTTTTTTGATGCTGTTTGCTCTCAACTCTTGGCCTTCTAAAAAAGTCAACCTACTAGAAGACAGTCTTCCCTGTCACACAGATTTAGATGCAAAATGGTGCTTACAAAGCCTGCACCAGTCTCAAAACACCTCTCCAGTACCACAGTGTATAATTTAAACTATTTGTTTGCAAGTCTGCTCCATCCTACTGTTGGATACCCTGCAACAATTGCACGATGTAACGTGCAGGGGGGATTCCTTGATGGCCAGCAAAGTTTGTCCAGCTGCTGGTGTTCTGGAATGCTGTTAAAATGAAATAAATGCTTGGACTGAGCCAGAAACAGCACTGCAAGTCAGCTGTTCTTCCCCCAAACAAACTTTCACTTCTGGACTAATACAAAAGGTGCTGGTTGGTGGGATGAGAGGGAGGGAACCCTGAAGTCTCTTGGGAATTTTTCAATGCAAAAATATTTCAAAAGTGTCCTAGAGTGTACACTTTTTCTGTTAATGAGTCATGAAACCATTTTACTACATAGAGCCTAAATTTTGATTGTTACATTAATTTGTCTGAAACTTTGGTGATCTTGCACCCCAATCTCAAAATGTCTGGCTTCTACATAAGGGTGTTCTGTGAAATCCGTCGTATGTTGGG